GCAATGGAGACCACAGCAGTGGAAGCGGCGGCGGTGGGAACCGCAACAGTGGGAACTGCATTAGCAGCAGATGAACAAGCAGTGACAGGACGAGCGTGATGTGGGGATAAAGAAGAAAGTGGGTGATGCAAGGACCACCGCAGCATGCGTCGGAACCACTGAGAGAGACGGGTGACATGTGTAGGATAGCGACGTTGGCGGGAGCGTGTGTAGCAGGTCCATCCTTTAGCGAGGGTTGGTGGGGAATGGCCACGAGAAAGCATGCGACGAGTGAGTGTTGTCGCTGCAGTTTGGAAGTCCTGCCAATTATTGCAGATGCGTTCAAATATCTTCAAATAGAACTGCCCGGTAAACCGTAGGCAAAGAGGGAGAAAAGGACAACAAACGAGGGGTTGTGACAAACTCTTTCGTCAAAAATCCTTTAAAAAAAGGAAAACCTGTCTCGTGTCCATTGTGCATACTATGCTGTCATGAGATGCTGTGTCCGATGTTGCATATGATAGGCTTCGTGTGAGGCTGAATTGAGAGACGAGAATAGCGTAGTTAAAAAAAAAAAAGGTTGTCTTCTCCTCATATGTGGGGTATAGCTGTTTTTTTGTTTTTCACTATGATATTTTAGTAGGGTCTCGCATGACGCTGTCCTGCGAAACCCGTTTCCGAGTTGGGCCCACAGCCAGGTCCAGGGCAGGGCAGAATCCGCTCCCTCAATTCTTTTGCCTTCGAAGACAATAGGACAGTGACAAAAGAAAACGAAAGGACAGTCACAACCTTGGCTGGGATTGAGAGGAAAACAACATTCATGCTCTATATATATCGTCAAACAAAGCTGCCCGGTAAACCATAGGCAGAGAGGGAGAAGAGGACAAGAAACGAGGGACTGTGACAAGATGTTTCGTCGCAGTTTCACATATCTATGAACTAAAAGAGTGAACTTTGAGAAACAAACAATACAAATAAAAGTACACAGGACAAACATGAAGAGCACACTGGAACCATTCATTTTTCTCATTATGCTTTTGACTCTCCCCTCACCGTGCCTCTCACGTACAAGGCTCACCACGTCGATTAAGTTGAGCGCGAGCTGCCCTGCAATCAGAATCGCTATCTTCACACTTCACATGCATGTAAACAGGCTGCGCAGCAAACTGGCGACAAGCACCCACTCAGAACTCAGAGATATGGTTGCCAAGAACGCAGTTCAGTTACAAGCTTACTTCGAACAGCTATATGGCGCAACAACGCCTGCACAACTCTCTGTTCGTCGCCAACCCAACTCTGCTGTTCATACACACACTGGATCACCCTGGATATCCCACACGCATCACACTGTACACACACGCACACACACACACGCTACACTCTCCTATCAGCTATGGCGGCTATGGCCGCTTCTACTCCTATCGGTATGGCTAAGCTCTCCTTCTCGCCCACTTCGTCTTCGGGCTCACTGCAGACCACCTCGCACAAGTCGCTGTGGCAGCGCTTCGGCATGGCTTACGCAGGAATGAACGAATGGATGGGCGCTGCCTCTTGATTTATACTTCTGTATCTCGTTGGTCTGCCCCTTTCCCATGCCCGTGGTGCACATAGTCCCATGCGGTACTTGCTTGACTGAACTAGGACTGACTGGGACTGGGACTGATGACTCAGCACGGGTGAACTCCACCACTTGGCCACTTGCCTCAGCCTAAACATGAGCAGCTTCGAAAGGCCAGTACCAGGATCTTCTGGAAGTTTCAGTCCTGGCCTTTCGGATATTGTAGCAGCTACGACCTTGACCCTTTGGAGGAGCTATAGCTACGACTTCTAGAACTTGCTACGACTCCTATCCGACAGGTCTATAGATCGAACCCCTATACCCTACAGACCTACGACAACCTACCACTGTGGGGAAAGACACAGGTCGTGGGTTCAACTCTCGGGGTGCACACAGATACTGTACACAGGTAAGGTGATGGTCTAGGGATCGAGCCCTGGGACTTGCATCCGGTCCTGCGCAGGTGAATACCGTTTCACTCCCGCCGGCCTAAATTCGAGGTCCTCCGAGAATAACTCAGTTCAAGGCAGGACCTTTACCTTTCCTATCTCTCTCGTAGGCTCTAAGTATGTTGGGAGCGGTTTCTAGAAGTTCTGTTCTAGTAAACCAGCGGTCGTCCTCTGGTTCCTGATAAGCAAACCGGACCTTATACTGTTTCTGTGGACGACCTCTACCTCCTGTTCTAAACACATCTTCACCTACGATGCCGTCAATGTTGTACCTTCCGTCCATGTCTGGAGGGATCATGGACCTTCTAGATGGAAACTGTCGACTTGTGACACACGGCAACAACTTTGATGCATGGAACACAGGGTAGGTGTGGAGGTGTGCTGGGATCTCTACTGTAGAGGACGGTCCATCCTCTCCACCCTTGACTTCTAGAACTGGCCATGGTCCCCTATACGCTGGCAGTAACTTCTGCGAGATGTTTTCCTCAGGAGCAAACTCTTTGGACTTGATCCAGACTAAGTCGCCTACTTGGAACTGCGATGGGCGATGGTGCTTGTTAGCTTGCTCTATCATTCTATGCTGGGCCTTCCTGAGGCTTTCGACGACTGTAGCTAGCTCTTTCTCGTGTTGTATCTCAAACTCCCTGGTACCAGGCGGTAGCCTATGAATCTGATCCCGGTTAAGCCCCTCAAACGGTCTGCGCGGTCTAAAGGACTTGTGCAACTCGTTGGGACTGCGACAGGTGGACAAGTGCACGCTGTTGTTATACGCACTGGCTACCTTGGGCAATATCTCATCCCAATTGACTTGATCTGGTCTAATGTACATGCGCAAAACTTGCTGCAGGATCTTGTTTATCTGTTTAGTCTGACCGTTAGTTTCTGGATGGCGGCCAGAAGACATCAACAACTTTGATTCGTAGACTTTCATTAGTTCCTGCCAGTTCTGGCTAGTGAATCGGGTGTCTCTATAGACAGCGGGGTCCCGTGATCACTACAATAGTCAAAGAACTTCTGAATTACTAGCTCAGTTCGTGCCTCTGCAGGCAAAGGAACAAAAACAACATACTTACTGAATCTATCAACTATGACCATGACTTGGCTCTTACCATGCCTACTCTTGACGCCAGCGTCCATAAAGTCAATGGACACTGAATCTCCTGGCTGATCAGGAATAGGCAAGGGTCTGAGAAGACCTAGAGGGGCACGCGTAGTACTCTTGTTTCTTTGGCATACATTGCAACTACGACATACTCTATGCAGTCAGCTTTCATTCCTGGCCAAGTGTACGAACGCATCAGATTGGCTATAGTCTTTTGCCAACCGAAATGTCCCTATGTGTCGTGACATTCCCCCAGGATCAAACTACGGATCTCCTCACTGTTGGGAACACACAGACGGTCTACTACGTCGGTCTTCTCGAACAGTAACCCTTCTGTAGTGCGGTAATGTGGTTCGGTCTTTGGGGCCTCCTTAACTCTCTTGAGGTGGTCACTATAAATAGGGCCCTGCACATATGCCTGTCTAACTTTCTCCTGCAGGTCACTCCCTATGTCCAGATAGTGAACTATGGCTCCAAAGTAGTCTGATCTCCTACCCAGAGCGTCCACAACTACATTGTAGTTGCCTTTAACAGGCTTGAGCTCAAAGTCATACTCGTCTATTTCAGCGGCCCACCTAGTCAACTTAGGTGTCATTTTGGCCTGTGTCTTCAGCCATCTAAGCGTCTCGTGGTCTGAATACACCTTGAAGTGCCTCCCAAGCAGGTAATGCTTCCAGTGCTCTAAGGCCTGCCTGATAGCGTAGAGTTCTCTCCCGTAAGTCGAGGTGGCTACCTTCTCTGAGGGCATCCTCGCTGACATGAACTCTACGGGTCTATAGCCATTGCCGTCGTCTTGCTGTAACACGACGCCTATACCATACTGACTCAGGTCGGTGGTGACGACAAATGGCAAAGACGGATCTGCAACTTTGAGGACAGGATACTCTATTAACGCGCGCTTTAACTTCTTTAGCGCAAACGTACAATCTTTATCCCACTGCCAGATTGCCTCTTTCTTGAGCAACCTGCGAAGGGGAGCGACGATAGTCGAGAAGTTCCTCACAAACTTCCTATAATAGTTAGCTAGGCCTAGGAACGACCGCACCTCAGTCAATGTGCGGGCTGTCGACCAATCTCTAATCGCTGCTATTTTGCTGTCCTCAGGCTTGATGCCATCTCCGTCTAAGACGCGGCCCAAGTACAAGACTTGTGTCTTGGCCCACTCGCACTTCTTTGCGTTGATCTTGAAGTTAGCCTCTCTCAGCTTCTCCAAGACCTGCCTCAAATGACCCTGATGTTCTTGGAGGGTCTTACTAAATACTAATATATCATCTAGATAAACTACAACAAATCTATCTAACCATGACCTAAACAAATCGTTCATATAGCGCTGGAACGTGGCAGGCGCATTGGTTACTCCAAAGGGCATCACTATGAACTCGTAGTGCCCATATCTAGTCCGGAACGCAGTCTTGTACTGGTCATCAGGATGGACCTCTATCTGATGATATCCGAATTTCAAATCGATCTTCGAAAAATACATGCAACCCTGCACCCGATCTAAGAGATCGTCTACCTAGGAAGCGGTTCAACGTTCTTCACTGTGATCGCATTTAGACCCCTATAATCTATACACATCCGTAACTCTCCTTCCTTCTTGGGGACAAACAAAACTGGTGCTCCAAAAGAAGATGAACTGGGCCTAACCAACCCTTTTCTAGGAGCTCATCCAATTGCTTTCGCAACTCCTCTGACTCCCTTAAGGACATCCTATAGACTGCTCCCTTAGGAGTCCTACTGCCAGGCTCTATCTCTATACGATGCTGGATTGGCCGCGACACTACTCCTGACGGCGGCTCTGCAAGATCTTTGAACTCTTCCACCAACTTGGCAATAGTTGGGTCGATGGGTGTGTCTTCCTTGGGCTCAGTAACAGGCCTCACATAAGCTACGAAGACCTGCTCCTCTAACTGCTCCTTTCTCACTAATCGCACGAATGCCGGAGCACTGAGACAACAATGTGCCAAGGAGTTATCTACTCCAGACACATGAAACAAGGGTGCAGTCTTAACCTCGCCTGACGGACTAGGGAGCCTACACTCATGCTCTCTCAAATGAAGTGTGGCCCCTGCTGCCTCTCCCTAGTCCATGCCTAGAACTATATCAAAAGGAAGGTCATCCTGCACGAGGAGAGTCAGGGAATGGAGAACCTTCTCCACCTTCCCATCTTTCTCTAGGCGGAAATACGCCTGGACTCCCTATACATAGTTCTCAACACGCATAGTGCGGTTGTCTGCGAGGACACTAACTATGGGGTCTTCCAACTTTTGGAGTTTCAACCCTAGCCTTAGCTTCTTCAACGCTCTACGGCTAGTATAACTGCGAGTAGCCCGGAATCTATAAGGGCCCCTCCTCTACTTCTAAAAACCTCTACATCAACTAAGACCGACTGTCCCTTGCTATCCTTTTTCATTTTGGCCCAGACAGGCATCCTCTCTTTCAACTCTTCTGCCACGCCTGTGAGGGAAGTGCCTAGAGAGACGCTAACACAGACAGTCTCTGGACAGCTAACTAGGCACTGGCCTGCAACCTCTGCCGAAGGCTCATGTGGTGTGGGAGTTTCCTGGTGGTGCTCGCACACTTCCCCATATGGCCTTGTAGTAGGGGCAGTTGCGACCCCTACTGGCGGCTGCCTTTTAACCCCTAGGCAGCGAATCGGGCTTCCCTATACTTTGGACAATATTTAATAATACGGGCAGGGTCACCACAGTAGATACATTGCCCCTGCTCCATACACTGTTGCCATACACGCTGGTCCAAGCCCAAATCTTCCCAAGGTCGGCCCTGTGGCCAACCTGGGTGCCAACCTCCTTGCCTTTGAGGTGACCTTTCACCTCTGCGCTGCGGTGATCGACTGGGTCCTGAGCGATTCGGCGGGGGACCTTGACCCCTACCTCCCACTTGACGGTTCCGTTGACCGCCAACCCCCTCTGCACCCCGACCTCGACCACCCATGGCCCGTCCCCCTTGGCCCTGGCCTCCTCTACCTTGCGGCCTCCCTCCAGCCGCGACAGCAGCGTGCGTCCTTCCCTGACCTACACTATTGTCCTCCTCCTCTAGCCCCCACTCTATCTGGCTCTAGAGGACTTCGCCAGTACCACCTTCATCTAAAGTAAGGATCAAATGATCCTTGGCCCTGACCTGACCTGAGATGGTACGACCTTTCCACTTCTTTCCCTTATCTAAGTCCTTATGCCAGAACGTGGAAACTGGCATGGGCTTTGCCTCAAACAGGACCACTTCTCTACTTAACGCATCGTACGTCATATTGGTCTGTTGGGTCTTATCAAAGAAATGCCCTCGCACGGGCTCTGCATGGCACGATAAAATAACTGGACCAACTGGGTCTCAGTGACCCCGTGGTCTGGGACGACTACCAAGTCATCCATGACAGCTTTCAGTGCTCGCGCACTCCTCCACTGTTGTGAGTGGATGGTCTGAAGTTTGTCAGAGGCCCTGACGCCCCTTGTGACGTCAACGAACCTCTCTCGCAGAGTTAAAAGGAAAATGGAAAGAGGGGTGAGCCTAGAGTATGCAACCATATTGTTTTCACAATCAGCTGTGCGCAAGGGACCTGGCAAAACTGGATGCGTCATCTTTGAATGCATGGACGGCTATGAGGACTTGTTCCTCGGGGGCGATATGCTGTAGATACACATACTTGTTGATGCTAGCCTCCCAGTTATCAAAACTATCGTCCTTTTTCCCGCTATACGAGTCAGGAAATTTGAGTTTGACAGGCTCTTTGCGGGCACGCACTTCAGCTTCGGCCACTACTTTGGCGCCTTCAATGGCGCCTGCGCAAAACTTCTTTGCGCCTTCCTTCAATATCTTGACCTCGGTCCCGACGTGGGTCACCACGTCGCGAGCAAACTCTCTAAAGCCGGTCCGAATGGAGTGGAGGGTCACTTCCTGACCCTTATTGGCCTGATGTTCCTCAAGCTAGGCCTGACTCAGAATCTCAAGATAGCCTAGAATCTTGTCTAATTTGGCAGAGGTTTCTTCTTGCGCTTGCACTTCCCGCCTACACGCCTGAATCTTCTCCACTTCTTTGGCCATCCGGTTGGCCTCTTCCCTCCTCCTCTTCTTTTCCCTTGCCAGACGCAACTTCCACTCCAATCTCTTCTCGTCTTCCATCGTCTGGCATTCCAGGGGATCCTCCTTAGCTTCTTGCTCCCTGGCGAATGCTTCTTTCTCCTAAGCGATTGATTACATATCGAGCAAAGAAGGAAAAACTTATGCTCCGTGAGGTTTCAGTAAGCTAGAGCAATCAATGAATTCAATCCCACCGGGCCATCGTCAAATTTCAATTCCCATTACCTAAGGGTTCAGTCTAGATAAGAGCTGGGATGGTTGGATTTGGCCGGCGGCGTATTATCTTGTTTACTTACCCACTCTCTAGACTCAATTATATCTGGAGAGAGAAAGAAGAAAGTCCATCTCTCATTTCTCAATCACAAGAGATGAAGATAAAGTCCTCCTGAGGCACGTACAACATTGCCTCCTCATCTTCTCCCAGCGATAAGTTAGCCACCCACTCACTGATCTTCTTTTCCATCCACTTGTCCTCTGCCTTCGTGCCACTAGTTTCTCCTCTCTCCCCCACGCCTCCTTTCGAGGGGTTCTTCTTCTACTTCCTCCTCTGCTGCTGCTGCTTCTTCGGCAACCGTTCTTTTCTCTTCCTCCTCCTGTTGCAATCTGGTCATCTCTTCTTCCAATTTCTTCTTCTTCTTCGCCTGCTCCTCAGCTATCGCCTTCAGCTTCGCTTGCTTGAGGAGCTCCTTCTCCTTTTTCTCCCTTCTCTCTCTCAGGATGGCGGCGAATTGCTCCTCCTGAGCCTGGGTGTGAGGGGTAGTACTCTTCCCACCACGTGTGTCAAGCATGGTGTCAGGTGCACAACCGGCCGACAGTTTCACTCCTCACCACCCCCTGACTGACAAGACCTACTGACTCGATCTAAGGACTTACAGAATCCGGACAGGATCCTGTCAACTAGGGTCACTAGCCTGGACCTAAACTAAGGCTGTCGCTATAGGACCTGTTGCTGATCAGGAGGCATCTAAAGAGATCCCCCGTAACTCCTCAGGAATTCTTTAACATCGCAGACAGGACGACACGATCAGCAGGTCCTCTCAAGACTTAGACGGCCTGTTGCGCGGCCCACAACTCAGATTTTGGGCCTACCGTGCCACACCGAGCAGCCCGCCGATCAGAACCGGTCGGGAGGGTTCGTGTCCTCCGGGACAGTCGAGTCGTCAGACACAGTCTTTAGCCCTACTCAACCCGTGTGGGTTCGGTCAACAAGGCCCTATCCTTCATTCATAGAGTCCTATCACCTGGATAGAAGAGACTCGATGCAGAAAGAAGAGACAAACAGGCTTGACTCGACACGTACCACAGGGTGTGTGCACATCCATAGGGCGAGGGGATAGGTTGAAGGCTTGGCGAGATTATACCGGCTCCAGCTTGGTCAAATTCGTGGTCAGCAGTCTTGGTCAACGCCTTGTTCAACGCTTGGTCAATGCTGCAGTCAACCCCCGGTCAACTCCCGGTCAACACCCGATCAACGCCCGGTCAACTTCGAACAACGCCCGGTCAACGCCTGGTTGACCCCCGGTCAACTCCGGTCAATGCCCGGTCAACCCCGGTCAACTCCGATCAACTCCGGTTCGGCTATGGTGGCCGGCTTCCTCCTCGTCGCCACCCTTCTCCTTCCCTTTTTCTGCCTCGCCTCCTTCTTCTTCACCCTGTCTGTCTTCTCTTTTCCTCTTTTTTCTTTGTCCTCCTTTCTCTGCTTTAAAATCTCCTCTATCCTCTGCTCATCCTCTGCG